AATCATATTTAGACATTGAAAAGCATGTCTTTAAGAAACGTCCACAAATTAAATAGGCTGGCTTAATAATAATAATAATAATAATTATTATTGCAGAGAGCTGCCAGCCTGTTGTCTTACTGCCTTATAGAGCAGTAACCCTAAAGGCAGTGTTTTTGCACCAAGGTAGCTCACATAACTGATTTCAGACAGACTTCTGAAATAGCATAACAATTTAATCATGTACAACTAAGATAGAGTTAGGTGATATCCTGCTTTTATATGGTTGTTTTTGCAATAAATATATGAGACTACACTCCTGCTTATTTAAATCTTTTTCAGGAATAGGTGCTCCAAAATATTTCCGAAAGTATGCATGTTTATGAAATTATTCATATTAATAAATATACACAAGGGCGACGCAGTGGAGCAGTACGGAGTGCTGTCTCCTCACAGCATAATGGTTGCTGGTTCGAGCCTCGGCTGGGTCAGTTGGCATTTCTGTGTGGAGTTTGCATGTTCTCCCTGCCTTCACATGGGTTTCCTACGGGTGCTCCGGTTTCCCCCACAGTCAAAAGACATGCGGTACAGGTGAATTGGGTAGACTAAATTGTCAGTAGTGTATGAGTGTAAATGTGAGTGTATGGATGTTTCCTAGAAATGGGTTGCAGCTGGAAGGGCATCCACTGTGTAAAAACATATGCTGGATAAGTTGGCACTGTGGCGACCCCAGATTAATAAAGGGATTAAGCCGAAAAGAAAATGAATGAATGAAAATATTTGCAAACTGTTTAATGGAACAACCAAATGCATTGGAGGACCTCGCTCCTCATTAAACAACGCAGAAATGGGGTACGCGGCGCTTCACAAAGGGAAGAGAAGGTGTCCTATAAAGTGTCGATATGTGATGAGTTGGGAGTGAGAATGTGTTGGAAAGGGATGTGGAAGGGCATATGCAGCTTTGTTGAAGGGCGATGGAACATCCCTGCATTCAATGAACAACTCCAATAGATAATCTTCCCAGACCAATGTCATCATCATATGTCATTATAACCCTGTGGTTATGAAGGACTACTCATTTCATTCACTAGCAGTAGCAGCTATAGTATGATTTTTTGATCTGTCTCAGATCCTTCATGAGTCAAAAAACTATTTTAAAATTTGATTATTTAATAAGAGACCAACTGGTGATTACTAACTTTGGAATTGGCAGATGATTGGTGTTCAAATCATTCTAAAAAGTCTCTATTTCTTGGGAAATTATTAGGAATGTCAATATGGATAGCACACACCTTACCTTTATTGCTTTTTCTGTAAAACAAAATAAATTTAAATGCATGGAAATTAAATTGACTCAGTTAAAAAGTTAGAATATAACCTGTTACTAAAAAAGGTAGGTTGAAGAGGTCTTAATTTTAATTTCTATTTTCAGACATTTGTCAATATTTAGAGATTTTCACTTTAACCACATTTTATGTAACAGCTTTATTTTATAATTCCTCAATTACCTCAAAATTCTACAAACAATATTACATAATAAATGACAATGCCATAGATGTTTGTTTGAAATATGTAAATAAATAAATGTGCTTTTTTAAAATCACATTTATAAAACTTTTTACTGCCTTTGCACCTTTGGCGCTAATTCCAGTCTCAGGTCTTTTTGAGTATGATGATACAGGGTTGTCACATTCATTTTGAGCAGATTGTCCCATTTTTGTATTATAATTTTTTATTTATTTATTTTTGCAGTACCTCTTAAATTCCATCAGATTGGATGAGAAGTATCTGCGCACAGCCACTCTTAGATCTATCAGAGATGCTTGTAGAGAGTTTGTATGTTTGATAGCCAGTCATTTGTTATCTTGACTGTCTGCTTAATGGGTTTTTTTTTCTGTAATTTTTGGCATTTCTATATTCATCTTCATGTCCAGTTTCCTCCAGACAGGATGCTTGGATTTTAGATCAAATAGTTATGTTTGGATTTTAACAGACCAAAGAATTTTGTCAGACTTTTGGGAGCTTTTCAGGTACTTTGGACAAACTCTCTGAGCATGCTGTCATGGAGTTTAAAGATTCTACCGTATACTGCAGCATGGTGGAGAAGGTTCTCTTGTCATCGCAGAGAAATACAGCAAAGAGTGATCGTTTGGTTTTTAGTCACCTCCTTGACTAAGGTTCACTCTGATTCCTAATCTAGAAAGAGTCCTGGTAGTTCCAAACGTCTTTCATTTAAGAATAATGGAGGCCACTGTGCTTACTGAGACTTTCAATGCTGTAGAAACTTTTCTGTATTTATCCTCAGATCTGTACTTCAGGTGTTTGAGATCTACAAACAGTTCCTTCAACTTCATGGCTTGTTTTGTGCTCTGATTTGCTCTGTTGACGTTAGAGCCTTATATACAGTAGATGGGTGTATGCTTTTACAATTCATGTCCAATAGTCAATATTTATTATTAATGGATATTTCCACAATAATTACTCAACAACCCTCTTACTTATGATTGGCTGAAAAGTTTTTTGTGACTTGGTCTCACTTTTGTCAAAAGCACCTTTATCATATTGCTTAGTAAACCTTTACTGAAACAATGACTAACCAAATTAAAACATGTGGGAATTAGAATCAAAGAAAACAAATTCAAAGAACAAATTAAAACATCGGTGCTCAGTCATGCTCCTGGAGGCCCACTATTCTGCAAATTTCTGCAAACTTCTACCCTAATCAAACACGTCTGAATTATCTAATCTTACTGGGCATGATAAAATTTCTAGGAAGAGAGACCATGGACAAAACCACGATGGAGCATTGGTTGAAGTGCTGGGTTTGCCACAGCTCTGCACAATGACAAAAATGTCCAAGCAGGTGTGAGTTGGAGCTGGAATCTAGACATAGCTTTGGCCCTCCTCCATAAAGTTAACCTCCACTCCACAGCTGCCCTGTCCTGACCTATTCATGCATCTCTAAGGACCGAGCTGTCCCGGGAGAAGCTTGCTAATATACAGAATTGGACTCAAGGCCTTCTGGGCGTTCAAAGCATTTGCAGACCTGGACAGATTTGTCCAGCCCATCACCCCCTTGTGGTGCAAAAGGGATTCATTCTCCCTATGAGCTATCAACCAAGGCTGAACCTGGACGGGGGCGTCCCGCGAGTCACTTTTAACACACAAGGCAGGGATAGTTTGTCCCAATTGGAACGTAGCCAAGGCAGAACCTGGACGAGGGCATCCCACGTGACACTTTTAACACACAAGTTAGGGCTAATCTGTCCCAATCGGAACGTAGCCAAGGCAGGACCTGGACGCAGCAGGCATACAGCGTTGAACTAAGAAGACAGGGCTCATTTTTGTCCCCACTGAATTTACTTTTACCACACAGATAATAAATAAAAGGAATAATGAAGACACTGAACACCATTTGACCGTTAAGTTGTACAATATTTATTCAGGACGATTCAGAGTCTTCTGTTTGTTCGAGCGGGCGAGCGCCCTGGCTTTTCCCCCTGGCAGGGCGCCATGGCAGCGTCCTCCTGCTGGTTCCCTCCTGGAAAAGAGACACATAAAGGGCAGTTAGCCAATGCCACACGTTCTGCTGTCCACGCCAAAGAGAATGTGATTTTTACCAGGGGAGAGACGGAAGTCTCTGTCCTCTTGCGCCCTTTCCGCGGGGGGCTTTCAGTGCCCGCTGCCTCCCCATCCTCCTCCTCCTCCTCCTCCTCCTCCACCAGGGCCCTTTCAAAGAGTCTGCGGCGCTCGCGTGCTTGGAGAGGTCCGAGGTGAAGTGCGTAGAACTTATCTGAGGTTGAAGTGTCATGGCACATGAATTGCGCCACCTTGCGGCGATCCTCTGAAGAGTGTGCATTCTTTTCCTGCGTCGGAGAGAGACAGAAGCTTGATTAGGATCGAAGCCGCCGCTGGTAGTTACAGGGGCGTCACAATGGCTACTCACATGGGTCGCGATTGCAGTGCGTACGTCAGTAAAGGTGGGTTTGCCTGGAAGGCCCATACTGAGCCAAGCAGACTGAAAGTACTTGTTCAGGGTCCGACAAGGACTGGCTCTGGAAGTGAAAAAGAAATAGGTAGCCTGGCTCCCTCCGCCAAAAACCTGCGGAACCAGCTGTATTCCTCCCTGTTTAGGGACAGCTGAGCCGCCCCAAAGGCTCTGTTTGTTTTGTGAGTGGTAATCTGCCATCAGAGAACAAGCAGTGAGTGAGTGAGTGAGTGAGAGAGCATGCTACTGGTGACCCCCACCTTACTTGCGCCATACTCACGTTAATGACATAAGCAGACTCGTCGGGGCTTCTGGAGGCCTCTTCAACCTCCTGGATTGTGAGATTCTGGAAGACTCCACAGCGGTGCCCAGAGATGGAGCCATAGAAGCGCCACTGTTGCCTAGTGCTTGGGTTGGATTCGAGGCTATCTGGTGAAGGACATTAGACAGATTAGACCACCGACGGTTCTATTTCCTCTCTGGGTCACCAACAGCTCTTGGCTGCTGGTGACCTGTTCTCCGGGGCACCAGCAGCTCAACCAAGAGCTGCTGGTGGCCCGGAGAGGAAATTAAACCTAGGCCACCAGCAGCCGTTGGTTCATCCAGCCACGTCTGTCTGCCCCCCTTCCCCCCCGAATGAGTCCCATTCACGGGGGAGAGGGGCAGACAGACGTGGCTGGATGAACCAAGGGCTGTTGGTGCCCCGGAAGAACGAACAGGGGGAATCACTGGAACGGCGGAAGGGCTTGCTTACCTAGCAGGGCGGGAATTTTCCTCCCAGCGGTCCGGTGACAGCGCACCAGGCTGGCCTTGGGGATCAGTCGGCTTTCCTTCGCCTGCTTGGTCCTTACCTCGTGCACGACGACACGCCGGCGTATGCCGCGGATGAGGGCTCTGACCTCCCTTCGAATCAGAACCAGAGCCGTGCTGGAGAGCTGACAGGCGGCCGGCGGCGTCTCCGAGAGGTAGTCCAGGAACTGAGCCACGTTCTTCAGGTAGTGCTGCCTGGTGGGCTCGGCCATGCGCGTCTGACCTAGCAGGGCGGCCCACGCTCGGATTCGGGCTGGTTGGTTGAGGAAAAGGAAGTCCCCTGGCTCCGCGGTGCCCCTTGCCATGTAACCAAGGAAGGCTTTGATTCTCCCCAGCTTCGAAGTGACGTTGTTCCGCAGGCGGGGGGTGGGCTCGCTGCCCAGTTGGTATCCTTCGAACTCCCCCAAGAGAAGGTCTGTGGAACGAGCACAACCAAGAGTCAACTTCCCCGAAGCCACACACCCAGCAGAGCGACAGTGACGTGCCTGAAATATACTCAACTCAGCGCGGGGACGTGGTCCGGGAACGGGTAGGCAGTGGGTTCCAAAGCCTCCGGAGGCTCGGGGGGCGTCGGACCTCCGGCCGCCCCTCGCCCGGGAGGCGGTGGTGCAGGAGGCGACCTGGTTCTCCTGGCCCTCTTCCTCCTCCTTCTCCCCCCTTCTCCCTTCCTTAGCTCCCGGTAGAGGCGTGTGATTTGGAGCAGGGTGGACCGCATCTTGGTAACCTGTTTCCCCAGGTCCGTGAGCTGAGCCTGTATGCGCTCGGTGGCGCGCCTGCAGCCGCGGTCGGCGCACGGGCGGCCGGCCTCTGGGTCCTCCGAGTCCCGCTCCCCCTCGGAGGACGATGCTAGCTGGGACACGACAGGGATTGCAGGCTGGGTGGACCGCAGCCACTGCAACTCCCGAGCTACTTTCCGGCGTTTCGCCCTCCCCATGGCCTCTTTCCTTCCCGAGGTCGAGAGCTCCGCGTGCTGCCTCAAGTGCCTGTCTAGGCGGGCTGGCGTCCGGCGACAGCCCGGGACCGGGCACGGTGTCTTCCGTGTGTCCACGCGGCCGGCGGCCAGCGCGAGCAGCAGCCGCTTCTCGTCCGAGTTGGCCACCTTGTGAACGGCCGTCAGGTGAGGCGCAAGCCGGCTGTAGACGTTGAAGCATAGGGCACATTCAGCCATGACCGTGCTAGAGCCAATGCAGAGGGGGAAAGGGGCCCGCACGCCACGTGCGGCGGTTAATAAGCGGCCGGAGGCGGCGTCCACTTCCGCGTCATGACGTTGGTGGACCCGTATTTCTTAAAGGGGAAGGACACCCCCCCGCACCAGGAGGTGTAAGCCGATGCCCTAAGGAGATCCATTCGGTTCAAGCCTTCTTTTGTTACGACTTCTCAAGTAGGGGGGAGAGGGGTGTCCACCTCACTCCCTTCCCCCCTTTTCAAAGGAACCAGAGGGGGTGTCCCGTTAAACAATGCACCCCACCGTCCCTTCATCGTTGCCCCGGTCAGCGGTTCGACACCTCTCTCTCTTGTCACGACTCGAGTTGGGGAAGGGGTGTCCCACCTCACTCCCTATCCCCCCTTCATTTTGCTGTTCTGGCCAGCGGGAGCCTTTCTCGTTCACTTTTTCCACCCCAAAGTGGGGATTGTTTGAGCCCCATCGAACATGCGGCGTTTTTTGGGGGGGAGGGGGCAGCTCCACACGCGCCAGCCGCGGGAGCTTTTGCGACCTGCTACAACCAACATGGGATACGCACCAACCATCGAAAGGGGGGTCCAGACAGCCCGTAACCCCGGCACCACTGACCCTGGCACGTTTCACCTCGCCGGAGTCCACTAGCTTCCCCTCCCAACCAACCACCCTCACTCCCCCGGGAGCAGGGTAGGCTGGGGTGGGGGTCAGCCGGGAGCCAGCAAGGATAAACCCAGGGGGTGGGCGGCGTTGCGGGCGGACGGACGGGATGCAGACGCACACACTCGGGCGGGGGTAGAATCGAAGCCCACACCAGCTCGTTCCCTACGCTGCACCTGGGGCCTCGATTCACCACGTCGGGTGACTCGACCGAACCCACCGAACATCCCCCAGCCCTCGCAGGGCGAGGGGCGTGGGGCGGGGGCATGGGCCGAGTATCGGCGCGGGGGAAACGGAGTCCATGGGGGGCGGGCTGGCGGGCGGGCTGAGCAGCAGACAAGCTCTGGGTCATTTAGCCAGACGGGCCATTTGGGTCCTTTACCCACAGATCAGGGCGGGAAGGGGGGGCGCTGTGTGCGGAGGGACACCCCCACGCCTCCCTGATAGAGCGCCCAGGACGGGGAGGATCTGCCACACCCATAGAGGCCGACCCCATTGGTGCTTTGGGGGGCCTGGGTGGGGGCCTAGCCCCTGGGGCGCCACACTAGCTCCTATCGATCAGTCACCGTGGGGTCTGGCGACTGGACTGTCAGAGACTAAGTCCATATTTCTTCGCCTTCCCCGAAAACCTGATGGCAGGTCAGAGATTGTGGGTCTCGGGCAAAAACCTCCAGGCGCGGGACGTCCCGACAAGTAGGCCGGGAAGGGTGGTCTCCCGTCGGGCATGGTTTGGTGGGCTCGGGCCTGGGTCTAACCAACGCCCCGGTGAGCGCCAGGCAAAACGTATTCCTGTTGGACCTTTGGCGCTAGATGCGTAAAGATGTGCCGCTGGTGAACCATTGATGGAGCCGCTGGTGAACCATTGATGGGGCCTCTGAGATCCAGCGGTGGGGGGGGCCTGTGCCCTGCGCGCACTGCCCGAGGTACACACACCCTCCTTGGGGAGCGAGCCCAGCCCCTCTCCCTGGCCTGGGGCCTCTGAGATCCAGCGGTGGGGGGGCCTGTGCCCTTCGCGCACTGCCCGAGAAACACACACCCTCCTTGGGGAGCGAGCCCAGCCCCTCTCCCTGGCCTGGGGCCTCTGAGATCCAGCGGTGGGGGGGCCTGTGCCCTTCGCGCACTGCCCGAGGTACACACACCCTCCTTGGGGAGCGAGCCCAGCCCCTCTCCCTGGCCTGGGGCCTCTGAGATCCAGCGGTGGGGGGGCCTGTGCCCTGCGCGCACTGCCCGAGAAACACACACCCTCCTTGGGGAGCGAGCCCAGCCCCTCTCCCTGGCCTGGGGCCTCTGAGATCCAGCGGTGGGGGGGCCTGTGCCCTTCGTGCACTGCCCGAGAAACACACACCCTCCTTGGGGAGCGAGCCCAGTCCCTCTCCCTGGCCTGGGGCCTCTGAGATCCAGCGGTGGGGGGGGCCTGTGCCCTTCGCGCACTGCCCGAGAAACACACACCCTCCTTGGGGAGCGAGCCCAGCCCCTCTCCCTGGCCTGGGGCCTCTGAGATCCAGCGGTGGGGGGGGCCTGTGCCCTTCGCGCACTGCCCGAGAAACACACACCCTCCTTGGGGAGCGAGCCCAGCCCCTCTCCCTGGCCTGGGGCCTCTGAGATCCAGCGGTGGGGGGGCCTGTGCCCTGCGCGCACTGCCCGAGAAACACACACCCTCCTTGGGGAGCGAGCCCAGCCCCTCTCCCTGGCCTGGGGCCTCTGAGATCCAGCGGTGGGGGGGCCTGTGCCCTTCGCGCACTGCCCGAGAAACACACACCATCCTTGGGGAGCGAGCCCAGCCCCTCTCCCTGGCCTGGGGCCTCTGAGATCCAGCGGTGGGGGGGCCTGTGCCCTTCGCGCACTGCCCGAGAAACACACACCCTCCTTGGGGAGCGAGCCCAGCCCCTCTCCCTGGCCTGGGGCCTCGGAGATCCAGCGGTGGGGGGGCCTGTGCCCTGCGCGCACTGCCCGAGAAACACACACCCTCCTTGGGGAGCGAGCCCAGCCCCTCTCCCTGGCCTGGGGCCTCTGAGATCCAGCGGTGGGGGGGCCTGTGCCCTTCGCGCACTGCCCGAGAAACACACACCCTCCTTGGGGAGCGAGCCCAGCCCCTCTCCCTGGCCTGGGGCCTCTGAGATCCAGCGGTGGGGGGGCCTGTGCCCTTCGCGCACTGCCCGAGGTACACACACCCTCCTTGGGGAGCGAGCCCAGCCCCTCTCCCTGGCCTGGGGCCTCTGAGATCCAGCGGTGGGGGGGCCTGTGCCCTGCGCGCACTGCCCGAGAAACACACACCCTCCTTGGGGAGCGAGCCCAGCCCCTCTCCCTGGCCTGGGGCCTCTGAGATCCAGCGGTGGGGGGGCCTGTGCCCTTCGCGCACTGCCCGAGAAACACACACCCTCCTTGGGGAGCGAGCCCAGCCCCTCTCCCTGGCCTGGGGCCTCTGAGATCCAGCGGTGGGGGGGCCTGTGCCCTTCGCGCACTGCCCGAGAAACACACACCCTCCTTGGGGAGCGAGCCCAGCCCCTCTCCCTGGCCTGGGGCCTCTGAGATCCAGCGGTGGGGGGGCCTGTGCCCTTCGCGCACTGCCCGAGGTACACACACCCTCCTTGGGGAGCGAGCCCAGCCCCTCTCCCTGGCCTGGGGCCTCTGAGATCCAGCGGTGGGGGGGGCCTGTGCCCTGCTCGCACTGCCCGAGAAACACACACCCTCCTTGGGGAGCGAGCCCAGCCCCTCTCCCTGGCCTGGGGCCTCTGAGATCCAGCGGTGGGGGGGCCTGTGCCCTTCGCGCACTGCCCGAAAAACACACACCCTCCTTGGGGAGCGAGCCCAGCCCCTCTCCCTGGCCTGGGGCCTCTGAGATCCAGCGGTGGGGGGGGGCTGTGCCCTGTGCGCACTGCCCGAGGTACACACACCCTCCGGCGGCAAGTGCTGGTTCCAAAGGACCCTCCAGATTTGCACCTAATCACCAGCCGTGCCCGGGCACCCCACTATTAAGCCCGGGGACACTAACTCCTCCAAACCGCATGGATCAGACAGACGTGCTGCTGGTGACCCAACTGGCCAAGACGTACCGCTGGTGGCCCAATCGGTCCTTGGGTTTGTGAATGGGTCACCACCGGCCCTGGGCTCGTGTATGGGGCACCAGCCGGACGTCGTTCTAGCCTCCGTCAGCGATGGGGTCTTATGTTTGCTGCGGGGTGACGGACGCTGGGAGACGGGTTAGCAGCTCAGACATGGACCCCTAGCTCCCCCGGGTTCGAGCGCATCTCCTGGGGCTTCTTTGAACGCCTTTGAGGCCTGGGTCTTTGGCTGAACCAGGGCAGTAACGCGCACCTAGCTCCCCCGGGTTCGAACGCATCTCCTGGGGCTTCTTTGATTGCCTTTGAGGCCTGGGTCTTTGGCTGAACCAGGGCAGTAACGCGCACCTAGCTCCCCCGGGTTCGAGCGCATCTCCTGGGGCTTCTTTGAATGCCTTTGAGGCCTGGGTCTTTGGCTGAACCAGGGCAGTAACGCGCACCTAGCTCCCCCGGGTTCGAGCGCATCTCCTGGGGCTTCTTTGAATGCCTTTGAGGCCTGGGTCTTTGGCTGAACCAGGGCAGTAACGCGCACCTAGCTCCCCCGGGTTCGAGCGCATCTCCTGGGGCTTCTTTGAATGCCTTTGAGGCCTGGGTCTTTGGCTGAACCAGGGCAGTAACGCGCACCTAGCTCCCCCGGGTTCGAGCGCATCTCCTGGGGCTTCTTTGAATGCCTTTGAGGCCTGGGTCTTTGGCTGAACCAGGGCAGTAACGCGCACCTAGCTCCCCCGGGTTCGAACGCATCTCCTGGGGCTTCTTTGATTGCCTTTGAGGCCTGGGTCTTTGGCTGAACCAGGGCAGTAGCGCGCACCTAGCTCCCCCGGGTTCGAGCGCATCTCCTGGGGCTTCTTTGAATGCCTTTGAGGCCTGGGTCTTTGGCTGAACCAGGGCAGTAACGCGCACCTAGCTCCCCCGGGTTCGAACGCATCTCCTGGGGCTTCTTTGAATGCCATTGAGGCCTGGGTCTTTGGCTGAACCAGGGCAGTAGCGCGCACCTAGCTCCCCCAGGTTCGAGCGCATCTCCTGGGGCTTCTTTGAATGCCTTTGAGGCCTGGGTCTTTGGCTGAACCAGGGCAGTAGCGCGCACCTAGCTCCCCCGGGTTCGAGCGCATCTCCTGGGGCTTCTTTGATTGCCTTTGAGGTCTGGGTCTTTGGCTGAACCAGGGCAGTAACGCGCACCTAGCTCCCCCGGGTTCGAGCGCATCTCCTGGGGCTTCTTTGAATGCCATTGAGGCCTGGGTCTTTGGCTGAACCAGGGCAGTAGCGCGCACCTAGCTCCCCCGGGTTCGAGCGCATCTCCTGGGGCTGCTTTGAATGCCTTTGAGGCCTGGGTCTTTGGCTGAACCAGGGCAGTAACGCGCACCTAGCTCCCCCGGGTTCGAGCGCATCTCCTGGGGCTTCTTTGAATGCCATTGAGGCCTGGGTCTTTGGCTGAACCAGGGCAGTAGCGCGCACCTAGCTCCCCCGGGTTCGAGCGCATCTCCTGGGGCTGCTTTGAATGCCTTTGAGGCCTGGGTCTTTGGCTGAACCAGGGCAGTAACGCGCACCTAGCTCCCCCGGGTTCGAACGCATCTCCTGGGGCTACTTTGAACGCCTTTGGGGCCTGGTTCGATCAACCGCGAAATCGAAAATTGCACTAAGTCCTTCATATGTGTCTGTTATCGTAAACTCAACGGCAGGTCAGCGAAACTCAGGGACGCCTTACCC